AATATGATATATAAAATGTATGATATACCTATATCATATGTACATACATTATATATAAATATATTATATATATGTATATAAAGTATTTAAAATGATATATTTTGTGCAATGTAAAATATATAAAATATATATAAAATAATATTTAATAATATACTATTTATAAGTTTTTCGTACGACGGTGGGGCAAGCCCCCATTACCCCCAGCCCCCCACTACCCCCACCTGGAGGCGACGACGGTGGGGCAAGCCTCGGCGGGGGTGAGGGAGTCGAAGTAGATGGCGACCCCCCGCCTGATCTCACCCCCGGGGGGGTCGTCGTCCCCCCGCAGGGGTTCAACCCTGCGAACCCCGGGGTAGTCGTACAGCCCTGGGGGTTTAAATGGGGGTTCAGTGTAAAATAAATACTTAGTAAGAGTATTTAATTATTTTGATTCGTATTATTATTAATTATTTTTATTACTTATTAATAATAATTATTTTTATTAATTAATAAGCAGCTAAAAATTAATTAAGAATTAAAATAAATAAATATTTAAATTAATTAATAAATTATTTATTTCGGATTCCAAATTTCGGATCAAATTTTGGATTCCACCCGTGGTCGCCCCAGGTCCAATTGACTCGGCTTAGAGGTGAATACCCTAACAAAATTTAGCGCCGAGGGCGGCTCTGGATTAAGTACCGCCTAGGACTCGGGGAGCATAGTCCACAAACTTCCCTATGTCCGTTTTTCGATCTACATTCCGGTCCCCAAATCAGACAGTCAGCTTCCCTATATTGTCCGCTTTTCGGTCTACATTCCGGTCCCCGAATCAGACAGTCAGCTTCCCTATATTGTCCGCTTTTCGGTCTACATTCCGGTCCCCAAATCAGACAGCTACCAGCGCCTGGTCTTTATTCTGCCAACTCTTGCCCTACTCTCAGGAGACCATAAAGTCGGCCAGGAGGTTCTGACTAGAGGCTGATTGCGATCAGTTGGCCAACTGACCCAGAATAATTTTGCGCCGAGTGCAGTGACTATTCGGCCAAAGCCTAGGCGGTCCCCGAATTTTGTTAGGGTTTAAATCACCCACGTAGCCTATTTTGCTGGAATTTATGAGCTTGGTGCATATTAAAAATATATAAATGCTGAGCGCTATCGCATGTTGAAGAATTGGGCAATGAGTGAGAATGCTGAGTGCTGGTGAATATTGAAGATTGTTTTGCTCGGGCAATGAGACAGGCTCTTGCATTCTGGTATATAGTAGAGAATGTTGTGGGTAATGTGGAAGGTTGGGGTTGAAAGTTGTATTAACTGATATTATTCCCGTTTAAAACTCGTGTTTACTTGCCACTTGCTTCATTGTGCCGCTATGATACATGTCAGGGGCCGTATTATCAAAACTTCGTAAGTACGCAAAATCGACTTACGAGTGGCGTTGCTATGACAACGTAATACTAACGGTGGTATTATCAAAACATTTGAGCGGGAAAAACATTTACGCTTTATTTACGCTTTTAGCCAAGACTTGCGTAAGAAAGTTTTGATAATGCCAAAATTAGGGTGTATTAACGTACCACAGAACTTTTTTGTCGTAAGTACAAAAAGTTAAGAAGTTTTGATAATCCGGCCCCTGGTCTACTCATATATATAGCGTGCAGCGTTTACAATGCATTTTTTAACGCATTTTTCAGATTCGGCCGCGTCTGTCCCGAACGTATCGGGTACCAAATACGCGCGCCCCATAGTCGCCCCACGGTTGTCAAGAAACAGACCGGATTCTAATCAGGTGCTTCCCTATCAAAATTTTTAGCTGGTGGCGACCCTGAATTAGGAACCAGACATAGCGCCGCTAATTTACTAATATTTAATAATATTTAATATATTTTATTTAATTTTATATATATTTTTATTTACTAGTATTTAATAATTTTAGTCGCTAATTTACTTATAATTTACGCTAGGCGAGCTTGGGGCGTCCTTGAGACAGCGGCTGACAGGAATAAAAATTTTGATAGGGGAAATTCGTATATATATATACAAATCCCCCCAGAAAGGTCCTTCTAGATCCCCCTAGTGAGGGGACCCTAAATCCCTCAAGCTTGGGGCCCAAACTAAACCCCCCACGCACACGGGCGTCCCCCAACCCCCCACCTGGGAGGGTGTCGTGGTCCACGATGTACCCCGAGGGGAGGGCCACCTCCATCACCGCCATCCCACTCGCCTCCCCCTCCTGGGGGACATTATTCCTGGTGGTATTTGTGGTGGTGGGGCCCGTGGTGGGGCGCTGGATGAGGCCCGTACAGGTGGTGAGGCGCAGGGTGTGGGTGTCGGTGGTGCGGTCCAGTTGGGGGTCCAAGGAGAACGCGGGGCGGGGGGCCGAAACCTGCGGGGAGGGGGGAGGGTTATGTCCGGTGCCACTCTAGCGTCTCTTTATAATCATTATAATTATATTATGTGATTAGTTCATATGTAATTTAAACGTAATATTCACTTGACCTGATAGAGATTGATGGAAAAGTACTAGACATGAGTCAACATCTGGAAGACACGTGATAGATCACGTGATCAAGACCTTAGTTGTGGGCGGAAGCCGAAGGCTATATAAGGGCTAGCAACCTTAAGTAAGGCCCCCGCAGTGGTTGATAAGCGCTCTGCGATGTAACGCTTCCTTTAAGTTTATATAAGCCTATATAAGGTCTAGAAAATGAATATATATAATAATATATGCATAATAATATGGAATATAATAAATATAAGGTTGCCAGAAGTCTATATGAGGGCTAGTAACCTTAAGTAAGGTCCCCCCAGTAGTTGATAAGCGCTCCGCGATGTAGCGTGTCGGTAGAGTTCTCCGACCTTACGGTCGACGCTGTAGCTTATACCTCTGTATCGCTATATATAACCACCTCATATACTGTATTAAAATGTATAACACCCCGTATATAAGATATGTTATCTAGACACATGAGTCTTACTTACATGACTCATGAGTCTGAGCCTTAGTCAGGAAACCCGATCCTCAGGTAGAGCCTTTTTTAACTAATCCTCCTTAATTTTTATCCTAATATTCCTGCATATACTAAGTTACCACACATAAATATACGTGAGTGAAGAACCTATGCACCAGCTGCGGCAGGCGGTGACCCACCTTGACGTTGTAGGAGTAGGTCAGCTGGACGATGGCCAGGTGGTTGCCACTGGCGGACACGTCGATGGACGCGGTGGTCTCCGGCAGCTTCAATGTCTGCAGGTTGCGGGAGTTGCCCGGGGATATGGCGAAGCGATGTCCCCTCTCCCCGTACACCACCTGGGGGGTATAGGGGTTAGGGGGGTTCGGGGGACATGGAGGAAAAGGCGGAGCAAGGGGTATTAGGGATGAGAGGGCAAAGGGTATGAAAAAGTGGAGGTATGGGGGAGGAGTGGAACATGTGGATAAACAGTTCGCCGAGTATAACAAAAATTTGAAATGGCGGACCAGCAGATTTCGTCTTGTTTGCATTTTGCATGGTCAACCCCCCAAGAAGAGGTTGACTTGCCCCAAGGGAGGAGGGGTTGCACCCAATGGTCAACCCGCCCTCCCTTGTATGAATTTTCTATGATCAACTCCCAGATTTCGTCTTTTATGTATGCATTCTCCTACCAACCCTCCTACCTTGACCGTCGTCTCCCCGCTGCCACGGTCGCCCCAGAGTCGCCCCGCCTACCTTGACCGTCGTCTCCCCGTTGTCACGGTCGCCCCGCCTACCTTGACCGTCGTCTCCCCGCTGCCACGGTCGCCCCAGGGCCGCCCGCCTACCTTGACCGTCGTCTCTCCGCTGCCACGGTCGCCCCAGAGTCGCCCGCCTACCTTGACCGTCGTCTACCCGTTGCCACGGTCGCCCCAGAGCCGCCCGCTTTACCTTGACCGTGGTCTCCCCGCTGGCACGGTCGCTCCAGAGTTGCCCCAGGGCCGCCAGGGCGGCCGTGGCCACGACGCTGTCGTGCGTGGACGTGAACGCGGCGCCCGTGCGGCGCTGCGCCGTCAGCCAACGTGCCACGGGTGCCGCCCCCGACGTCAGCCCACGGGCGACGTACGTTAGCAGGGCGTAAGACGTCCATTCGACGTCCATGGACGAGTAAACGTCGCCGCCCTCGGTGGACGTGACGGGCGGACCTCCCGCCCAGAACTTCTGGTCACCTGAGAAGTTAGGACGGGCCTTTTTTAATTTTTATATTAGGACGGGCCTTTTTAAAAAAGGACGTGTACCCGGCCCCGTGCCTGACGTACCCTAACGTACCCTGCCCCGTGCCTGACGTACCCTAACGTACCCTGCCCCGTGCCTGACGTACCCTAACAAGCCGTGGTTTTATGGATTTGCCTGCCGTGATTCCATTTCACCAAGCCATGAATTCCATATCTTGGCCATGAAAAGCCATTTACAAGGCACAAATTTATTCACAAAGTCTATGATGCATGTGTTACCCCAAATCTCTAATTTTACCCTAAAACAGTCAAACGGCAACAATAAAATTTGTCTATAAGTTGAGCACCTGTTAGCCTAATGCAAACTGACTGCTTTTACATGACCGCAACTATGCACAATCTTCAACAATACGTTTAGTTTATTTGTTTAGGTACGATGTTTATGTTTTTCTGCAGGATATTTTGGCAGGAATGGTAAAGCAATGCGGATTGCGGAAGTTGAAAATTTTATGAAATGACATGTTTCTGAAGTGCAAACCACGATTTTTCAATCAAACAAAAATTTATAACATTCGAGCCGCGAGATTTCATACCTACTGAAATTATATGATATTAGAGCCGCGATATTTCAGACAAAAATAGACTTTTCCAGCCCTGCTGATAAGCACTAAGCAGGCCATAAGGCAAGCCTGATTTGGCAACTGCCGTCTGCCAACAATCATAGGTACGTAAACGTAAACAAGTGACACGACTACACGTAGCCTCTGAGCCTCATAGGTACATTCATATTTAATTCCATTAAAAAAATTAAATTCAAGGGTTAAAATTGTAACAAGAAGCGGCTTGAAAGGCTTGCTGAAGCTGACTGAGAGTGAGAGGGAAACCAAACTTAGAGGCTAAGAGCAGAACATAAAATTTTGCCAGAATGCCATATTTGTGAATTATGTAATGTACCTACCAAAATAGGTACATGACATGATGACATAAGACATTGAAACTGGAAGATTTTAGGTTTCCAATTCAATAAAAAAGATATAGCATTAGAGTACCCCATAGTGGCAAAGCAGAGAGTTTTTTAGACTCTCCCTCAAGTTCATTTTTGAGTCCTATAAGTAGACCAGTAAAGTATCTTGGATACCAGCATTATCATACTTATGAAATTGGTTAAAATCTTGAGTAAATGAGGAAATTAAAAATGAACTGATTCTAAAAAATCTCTGGTTTGTCACTGTGGTCTGACCTGCTGTGTATTCAGGGTCATATCTTAAAAAAATAGATTCTCAGCTCAGTCAGCTGAAAAGAAACTGGTTTCATCTCAAAAACATGCTGTTAACTGCTCTCGCTCAGTCGCTCAGAGCCTCTGACCTCTGAGTCTGTCTGCTACAAAATTCTTGCTGAACTCACAGTTGCAAAAATCTAGTCACATTATGGATAATATTGATCAAAAATACAAATTGTAGCCTGTTGCGTTTATTTATTAAATACAAAGCTGCTACTTGCAAAGCAGTTGTGAAAAAAATGCGGTAATATTTACTCATCCCACCAGCGCCGGCTGCAGCCGGATAGAGGAAATGTAATGACTTAGAAACTCATCCGCCGCAGTGGATCAAACAGCATAAACTTGTTTGTTTTTGTAGTTGATTTTGTTGAAGGTTAGGAATAATTTAATTAAATAATATTATTGCATTTGGTAAGAGGCTAGAATTTGCATGAACAAATGTACTGCCTTTCAATATGAGGCAGACTACAAATAATTTCTCTTCGTAGCTTATTTCCATGCCGAAATCTTGTTCGAAATGTAGGCAGACTGCGGTTCATCAGGCTCATCAAGTTTAATATAAAATTAAACAATGCACCATTTTAAAGTACAATCTAAGCTATTCATATATACCTTGCTTCACAATTGAAGAACATCCGGGAACCGAATTGGTTCACCATTGTAAAAAACGGGAATCGAATTCAGGTTAAAATCGATGACCCTAACTTCTTGAAGAAATGAAGTGTACAAATTAAAAAACTTCAATAACATTACATTTTATATCGATCATGAGAAGTTTATTATTAATTTCATGCAGCATTGATGGCATTTATAACAAAGGAATTCAAAGTTTCGCGTTTTTTATTTCACGAAGGTTCGCTCGGGGTTGCGGTCTTAGTTCTCACCAACTTATTTTAATTTCAAGCGAAGTTCAAATCTCGATGCTTTAGGACAAGTTTAGTAAACTTGAAGAAGGATTGAGTACAAATTAATGCTTTTTACCTGCTTTGATAAAAATAGTGACCGCGTACATGTCGTAGAATAGAATAGAAGTGTCGGCGTTGAAGACATAGGCCCATGGCCTGTTGCCGATTCTTGAACTTTTCGTGACTTGATTCACAAGGGATCCGGCCTTTGGCACACAAGGGATCCGGCCTACAACCCCCAATTGAGATAGCTGCTGGACTTATTGCCTGGTCCGTAATTTGCTAGGCATTTTAAGACTGAACCTATGCTCCTGCATAGCCATAGGTGGGCAGTAGCGCGCTACATGTAGCGGCCGCTACATTTTCAGAAGCGGTTGCGGCGCTACATTTAAAGCAATGTAGCGGTAGCGCCCGCTACATTTCAAAGTAGCGCTGCCCAGCTCTGTATATTACACTATTCACATATATATCATTCCAGCAAAATTTAATGTTCTGCTGTAAGTTTAGTTCTCCTTTTCTTGCCCTAATTTCAACCATAAAATTTTTTTCGTATATAATCAAATGAAGTGCCTGGGCGAAACTTCAAAAATGAACTTTAATCCGTGCTAAGATGACTTGTGATGTGATGGGGTAGACAACGCTAAATTGATGCAGTGAGTTGCGTGTTTGACACCCCCAACAAATCGTGAATATTCTACAATTTTTATTCTACAGCCCTATACTATATATAGTATAATATATGTGAGGTTATACTTTTACTGAAGGATATGAAAAAACGTTCAAGTTAGCAAATATATTAAGTGTTTGGCAGCGTTACTTATTGTATAATGTTATTATTTATTGTTTTATATATTATAACGTTATTATATATATTATTCATTGTATTATATATATTATAACGTTATTATATATATTATATAGTTATTGCTATATATGGCGGTGTTATACCGGATAAAAAAACCGGTTTAGCTTCCAGCAAAAAGAAAATTTCGTTGTTCTTTGAAAAAAATTTGTAGTTATCACCAAAAATAATCGTTTTCAAAAAATTTTTTTTAGTTTTCATGAAAAATAATTTTTAAATGATGATTAATTATTAAATTAAATGATTTTGAATAACTAAAATTTAAAATTTTTTAAATTTGAAAATCTTTCCAATTTTTTAAATAATAATTTTATATATATAATGAATAATGTTATATTGATATATATTTTATAACAGCGATCACGTTTCATATATATAGAATTAGCCTAATTATTTATTAATAAAAAATAGAGCTTTATACTCAGGGCGAGTTATATAAGATTTATATATGAAGATATATCAATAACATTTATATCAATTTAAATCAAATATCAAATATTCACAATATATTTTTTTCGTTTTTTAATGTTAAATAAAAATAATTAATGTTAAAGTGGTTAGTTTGCAGTGACTTAAATTAAACATTATTTTTAATTAAAAAAGATATTTATTATAATTTTTATTAGACGGATTTAAAAAATTTTCATGATTTTAATAGATAAAAATGTTCTAATATATTGAAAAAAATTTACGAAATTTTAAATTTTCGCTGCAGGAAAATCGAAAAAATAGCAAAAAATATTTCGTTTAAATGGGATCTTTTGAAACATTTTTTTTTTCAAAATTTCGATTTTCGTAAAAATACTAGAAAAAAAACGGATTTTTTTATTAGGTTAGAACTCGAAAAAAGCGAAAAATTTTTTGTTTAAATGGAATTAAGGAAAAAAACTGTTTCAAAATTTAAATTTTCGCATAAATATTTGGAAAAAACCGGAATTTTTTTTTTATTTGATTAGAAATCGAAAAAATAGCACCGAAGTTTGGGGCCCGAGTCCCGAAGTTTGGGGCTCTTGTCCCAATAGCGCCCAATCAGAGGCGCGTTTTTCTCTGTCCTCCGCCCACGAGAAGGACAAAGCGCTTGTTTGTCCGTCCCGTTTCGTCCGCCGGATGAGACCCTCGATATGGCCGACGGACTGTCCATCACGGAGGCCAGGATCATAAGTCTCGAGCTCGTCCATGATGGACGTGGCGTCCATCCTGTGGTTGGCGCCCAACATGGCCGCCGTCCTGGCGTCCATGGAGGACACGCCCACGAGGCTGTTGGGCTTGGCGGCCACCGTGATGGCCACACGGCCGCCGGTGGCCGCGTCCACCTGTGTTGGTGTCACCGACACCACCACCTGGAGGACAGATAAGTATGACCATGTTAGTTATATTAATATTTAATTAGTATTTTTTATTTATATCAGCCTTTTAAATTTTAATAAAGGGATAATTGGCAATATTATTATTTTAATTATTTTATTATTTAATTATTAATTTTATTATTTATATCAGTTTTTTTAATTTCAATGAAGGGATGATTGCAATATTACTAATTTAATAATTTTATTTAATTATTTAATAGATAATGGTACGAGGGGAAGAAGTCCCCACCTTGTCACGGCCTCCCCTGGCGACGGGGAAGTGGACGGCGTCAGCGACGACCTCCCCATCGGGCCGCACGTAGTGGACGAGCAGGCGCGCGCGGGGGAACATGGGGGGACTGGCGATGAACCTGGGGAGGGATGTGGGGATGTGGGGAGACTGGCATAGTTGGGGAATATGGGGAGACAACAGATAAGGTGGATCTCGCGGACATTTCATACAAGAGAAGCGAAACTATTACATTTTTCAGAGCGCTAGTAATTTTTTTTTCTGGAGTACTGCTGTCAGCTTTGGACCCCATTACCGGTAGATACCATGCAGCTATTTGAGGTACCGTAGTTCATCTGGCTGGCATATCAGACAAGAGAAGCGAAACTATCGATTACATTTTTCAGAGCCCTGATAATCAAGATTCAAGAGTACTGCTGCCAGCTTTGGATCCCATTCATGGTAGGCACTGTACGGTGCAGCTATTGGAGACAGTTCATCAGCCTGACATCTCATACAAAATAAGCGGAACTATTACATTTTTAGCGCGCTTTTAATTCCCATTCTTGAGTACTGCTGCTAGCTTTGGACCTCATTCACAGTAGGTACCGAGCGGCTATTGGAGGTAGTTCATCTGGCTGACATTTCATACAAGAGAAGCGAAGCTATCAGTTACATTTTTCAGAGCGCTTTTAATCCCTATTCTGGGGTACTGCTGCCAGCTTTGGACCCCATTCACGGTAGGCACTGTGCGGCTACTGGAGGTAGATCATCTGGCTGACATTCCGTACAATAGATGCGAAACTATTGATTGAATTTTTCAGAGCCCTTGTAATCAACCTTTCTGGAGTACTGCTACCAGCTTTGGACCCCATTCACGGTAAATACTGTGCGGCTATTGGAGGTTCAACGGACCATATTACAGCAGTGCAACGGACCTTCTCGTTCAGGATCAGCGGCATGAGGGAGCTGAACCTGAACTACTGGGGAAGGCTGAAACACCTGGGACTGTACTCACTGGAGAGAAGAAGAGAAAGGTATATCATACTGTACACTTGGAAGATGATAACCGGACTGGCTCCCAACTTTGAGAGTGAGACCTCCAGAATAGTAACACGTTACAATGAAAGAAGGGGAGACTGTGTGTCAGGTTTTCTGCCGTCACCTCCCATACTTGCTGTAGCGGTTACTGCGTCACTTTCTGTGACGTCATTGTTGTGTGTTTCACGTAACAGCATCGTGCATCAGGTGGCCCAAATGAGGGCGGATGAACGATAATATCAGAGGCGGCGATCCATCGTGGCCTGGGACTGCTACGCCCGAAACAAGTACCAAGATTACCAAGATTTGAAGGCACTTAGTGAGTTTGATTAACTCTTCAAGAATTCCCTGCCTCGGTCGCAGACCAGAAAGTGTTTAACGCAGTAGCATCGTTACCAATACCTATATTTACCCTGCAGCATCTGTATTTACCTCACCGTGTTTAACCCTAAATAAGTATTAAGTTTAATTGAAACTCTAATCATTTATCCTTCAATTGTATTGAATTGACAATTAAAAACTCATTGGACCCAGTTATGAATTATCAGAGGTGGGCAGTAGCGCGCTACATTTTCAGTAGCGGTAGCGGCACTATATTTAAGCAATTGTAGCGGTAGCGGCGCTACATTTCAAAGTAGCGCTGCACAGCTCTGTGAATTATCAAATTAATCATTAAACTTTGCTCTACCGACTATAAGTATTAAATGCAAGATTCCCCCCATTTAGTAACCGTGCCACGGCCAGTGTACGTTCCCTATCGTCGGCTTGGGGACGGTGGACGACGAAAGCGGTGCATCAGCACGAGTAAGTCCTACACTTAACATAAGTACCTAAGGGTGCCTAGAGGTACTAGTACCTCTATACGGTGATATTACATCGGGGCACAAGTACCTACGGGTACTGGTAGCTAAGGGTACTGGTAACTAAGGGTACCTACATAAGTACCTAAGGGTACATAAGTACCTAAGGGTACTGGTACCTAAGGGTACATAAGTACCTAAGGGTACTGGAGTATGAGTACCTAAGGGTACAGGTACGTGATGGTACTGGTACCTGAAGGCATGGGAAGTACCCCGGTGGGCCTGCAGGGTACTGCTGTACAGTACCTCGCCCCGCGCCAGCACCTGGTACGTGAAGTACCCCAGCCGCTCCGTCGCGTTCAGGGCAACCAGTACCTCCTCCCCTACCTGCGGGGTACGTGGGGTACTTGGGGGTACTTGGTTAGGGGGTACTTGGTTAGGGGGTACTTGGTTAGGGGGTACTTGGTTAGGGGGTACTTGGTTAGGGGGTACTTGGTTAGGGGGTACTTGGTTAGGGGGTACGTGGTTAGGGGGTACTTGGTTAAGTATTTGTTACATGCAAATTAATTAAATACATTAACACTATTTGATAATTATTAGTAGTAATCAATAATTATTTATAAAAATACCTAATTAATAATAATAATGATTAATTAATAACACCTAATATTCAATAATTAATATTAATCAATAATAAATAATAATTCATAACAATTTATAAGTATTAATAATTGATAATAACTAATAAATATTAAGCAATAAAAATTGAAAATAATTCATAATTAATAATAATAATAATAATTAATAATATTGTTATCAATTAATAATAATTAATAAATACTAAACAGCACATTGGCCCCCGGGGGGGCGGGTCTCACGGTGGGGGCGGGGGTGAGGACGCTGGCCTGCAGGAAGGCCCCCGTGGGGCTGTGGGCCCGGGGCACCTCCCCCAGCCACTGGGTGAGGGCCCCATACGTCGCCTCCAGGCCCAGCGTGTACGTGGGGCCCGGGCCCTCCAGTGGTGGGGACAACACCAGCTGCACCAGGCCTGGGCCAATAGAATGTATAGATTATATAGCATATTATTTATTATAACTGTTATATGATGATATATTGCATATTGATATTATATAATATCTAATCTATAGATTGTATATTATATAATATATTATAACATATTATATAATCTATAGATTATATAATATATAATAGATTATAACTGTTGTAATATATAGCTGCACCACACCTGGGCCAATATAATATATTGTGTATAGATTATATATTAGGTAGATGATATATTAATAGAATATATAATATATTCTGTATATATTAATATATTAATGTAATAATGATAGTATAATACATCATATATTATATAATGATAAAAACATATTATTGGGGGCTTTATATTATGTATTATATAGTATATTAGAATATTTTATATAATAACTGATATATGATGATATATGATATATAATATAACATATTTTATGATATATTATTTGATATGATATTATATTATATATTGTAACATATTATATAATGTATTTTATTTGCAATAAATTTATAATGAGAAACTGGAAAACACGTTTAATTTCTTCAATTATCAAATATAAAAACCTATTTTATTTTTGACTACCCCCTAACCCCCACCGTTCGTTGGTACTCCCCTAACCCCCACCGTTCGACGTTGGTACCCA